TTTATACACTAACCAATCTGCTTCAAGGTTTTTAATAGTGGCTTTTCTCTTAGATCTATCCCTCTTATTTATAAGCTTTTTGATTTCACTAGTAATCCAAGGGACTTTTTTTTATCTGATCTTTTTTGTTGAATGGGTGCATGCTTATTTAGTACTTCCTCGAACAATTTCTTCCAAATCTCCCACATAGTGTTTGGATTATCAGCGAAGAATATATTTAATTTTGGTAGTCATTGCGATAAACTACGCTCGTGCTGATGTCGTACATTCGACATGTTTAATTACTTTAATCATACGGCTTCAGAAACGGTTGCTAAATCACAGCTAAATATTTCGCATCATGACTCCCCGACTTGGCAGCTTCGTAATTATCACCAATGCCGCATTTATCTTGCTGATTTCTTATCTCTTTGCAAATATTTGGGAGTGCCAATCCGTGAGCTCTCATTCGCAAGAATTGAATTAGACCCTTTACGCATGACAGCCCTATTTATTAAGGTAATCCAATCCTCTATTGCCTTGCTTAGTTAATTTAGTTTTGCATGTGGTCGTGCCACGTCGTGCCTTGTTACGACGGCTTGTTGATCTTACAAAATGCATCCGAATCGGCCCAGCATAGTCGCTATACCCTATCGCACTCGGGAATTTGCGAGGCGGTGGTAATTCAGCGTCTAACGTTCTTAACAGATGATGCTGCATTGGTTGATATTATAATAACGCTATTCGGTTCCATTTTGGGATTTGACTGTTATGATATTTGTACGTAAACTGGTGCTTGCTTGTTTTTAATTAATAGCATTAAGTATATCTTTATTTCGTACTCGCGGCACATATCGGGATTAAAAAATGTTTCAGGGAATTCTGTATCTCGGACACAGGTTTCTACGTTGACACAGCTTGCATCAGCCAACGTTCATTCATCACCAACAGTCATTCCGGATCGACTATCATATATTTAAAACCTCAATTCACGTTTCTAAATTTAATTTATCCAGTTTGTTAATAACAGTATGTACAACAAATGTTTTGTTTTTCGCAAACGCAAATGCCGGCTGGATGTTGAACTGAAACAGGGGTAAGGTTCACATTTTAGCTGAACATGCATGTTTATTTCGCCCGAAACTGGTGATTACCTAGGTATTTTATCTTACTTTTTCGTCATCGCTAGACGTTGAACCGACACAGGGGTAAGGTTTACATTTCAGCTGACGATATTTATTTCGCTAGAAACTGGTATAATACGGTATTTTATCGCCTCTGGCGACACGTATTCGTGACCGGTTGAATATTGAACTGACACAGGGGTAAAGTTCACATTTCAGCTGATCATATTTATTTCAGTGGAGGCTTGTTTATAGTATATAGTCAACTAGGTAATTGATAGTACTGCTATTATGTAGACCAGTGCAAGTTCATTGCTTTTGATTGACAATAGCATGTGCAGTGAAATTGACATAGATTGAGGTTTTCGTAACATGAGGTATCAGTATATGTAGATATTTTTCACGATCATCTGCAAACGGTTTGTCATGTTGGGGTGGGGTGTGTCTCCTTTATCCCAAGGAGACTTGTGGCGTTAGTAATGCCCCACCTTTTCTGTGCTAAATGTCATATAGTTATTAATTAAAAATGTTTCTTGTTAATTATTAAAAATTAATTAAAACAATAAAGCGGCTATGTGCCAAAAACCGGGCACATAAGCCATAATTATGCCATAAAGGCTTTGACTGGTCTCGTAGTATTCGGCAGCACAGAAAACCGAGCTCAACCTGACAAACAGTTTGCCGATGGTGGTTATATGCAGGGAAGCGATAAAGGAACTTATTGCCACAGCAATAAGAGTTTTTATTGCTTCCCGGAATAATTTATAGTTGAAATTAATTATGCGAAATAAGTAATTTGCGCGCGCAAGTTAATTTAGGTATAGTCACGTGATTGGAAATTTCGGTATTTATCAGTGGTGAAGCGGGCTATCTGTCCTTTCCTATTCCATATGAGCTGCAGTTTACATCAAGAAATTGGATGGAAGAGAATTACCAATCCTCCTCCCCGTTGTTGGACGCGATATGTTGAACTTATATAGATACGTTATGTGTAGTGGGCGTTAGTAATGCCCCCACCTTTTCTGTGCTAAATGTTATATAGTTATTAATTAATAATTTTTCTTGTTAATTATTAAAAATTAATTAAAACAATAAAGCGGCTATGTGCCAACAACCGGGCACATAAGCCATAATTATGCCATAAAGGCTTTGACTGGTCTCGTAGTATTCGGCAGCACAGAAAACCGAGCTCAACCTGACAAACAGTTTGCCGATGGTGGTTATATGCAGGGAAGCGATAAATATACTACATAGATAATCATTCATTTTGTAGACATTCAAGATTTTCAAGTCCAAAAATAATTGTTCAGAATGATCGGAATAAGATTTAAAACAAATTAATCGAACAATTTTCTTTTGTACATTCATTATTTTTTGCAATCTTGTGGGATATGTATTTCCCCAAACAAAATTCCCGTACGTGAGGTATGGATAAGCTAATGCGTAGTAAATCAATTTTAAAGTGTTTCTATTTGCATAATGTCTTAGTTTAGCGATCAGACCTGTACATTTAATAATAGTTTTCAGAACTGAGCTGATGTGGTTTTTCCATGTCAACTCTTCGTCAATTATAACTCCTAGAAACTTTACAAACGTCACTTGCTTAACCAAATCATTATTTATTTTGATTGTATTATCTGTATTCCGTAAAGACTTATTTTTTTATTTAAAAATTACGAACTTTGTCTTAGAAGCGTTGATTAATAATTTATTGGCATTGAGCCATTTCACAACCTTATTTATTTCATTTTGTATTGTATTATACAAAGTTTTCAAGCACGAATTTGAATAGAAAGCATTCGTATCATCTGCATATAATACGAACGAAAGTATATCACTACAGCTTCCGATGTCGTTGATGTATAAAAGAAATAGCTATTAATGGACCAAGAATTGAACCCTGTGGGACTCCTGTAGTAACATTCATTTCAGTTGATCTATGTTGTTTATATTTTACAATTTGAGTTCTTTCCTGCAAATAATCTTTAAACTCTGAAGACAAATTCCTCTTATTCCAAGAATTTCAAAGTTGACTGTATCGAAAGCTTTACAAAGGTCAAGGAAAATACTCATTGTGTATTTACCTTCATCCATTGCTTTAGAAATTTTATCGGTTAGTTCTAGAATGGCATGTTCGGTAGATCTATTTCTGCGAAATCCATATTGATGTTTTGATAGTATTTTTTTCGTTTCAACATAATTATATAGTCTTTTGTACATGAGCTTCTCAAGTAGTTTTGAGAAACAAGTCAAAACCGATATTGGTCTATAGTTCTCAAAAAGGTTACTCTCATTTGCTTTAAAAATAGGAGTAACTAAAGCAATTTTAAGGAATTTTGGAATCTTTCCAGTCAGAAAAGTTAAATTATAGATATAAGTTAAAGGTTTAAGTATTTCTGCGTTTATTGCTTTGATCATTTTTGAGCTTATTTCATCATGTCCTGCACTTTTATTTTCTCTTAAATTAATTATTTCGTTCAGTAACTCATTTTCAGTTACAGGCTAAAAAAACATACTTTCAACATAATTGCCTTTAAGGTAGTCTTCATATGATATGTCATTGACCATGGTAATTTGTTTAGGAAGTTGAGGACCCACGTTTACAAAATATTCATTAAATTTGTTTGCAATATCAACCGGATTTGTAACATTGGTGTTTGAATCTTTTTGCAAGAACGTGTCAGGTAGTTTTGATTTAGTTTTTATTTTACGATACGATTAATTCAACAGATTCCACTTGATATATTCTTGTTGACTTGGTCTAATAAACCGTTCGATAGACTGGCTTATATCGGGGAGTTTTCGTTTTGGAAACGAAATTAGCTGTTGGCGAAATGTTACGACAATGTTTGTTGTTTTACTTTGTCCTAACTTTGGCTAATTCTGTGGTTGCATTGGACATTTTTGTCGGGGCAAGTTTCTTGACCATCATTGAGGAACAAACTGATCATAGTTTGCACAACAATAATTACACGCTTGGCGGTCATGGCTTATTGTCTTCCTGGTCATGCAACGTTGAAAACAACATTGTTTGTTTATGCTATGCGGGCACTTTACATCTTACATTCCTGAGACAATCGAAGAATAGGAGGCATGTGCGCCCGTGTGTTTATTATAATAACACTACAGCAACATTTCGTATTCTACTTATTGGTGATCTAGTCTTTAAACTAAATCCTGGTCCTACTCGCAGGAACATTTCACCCATTGCATCCGTGCGTCATAGCTATAGGCCTCTCAGGCCAACAATATCTCGCGATGCGGAGCAACCGTCACGCCTTTCGTCGCGTAACGCTAATAATTTAATCACTGTGAATTGTTCTAATTGTCTGAATGTACATTACCAATCATTAAAATTTTGTGTATTAAATGCTCGTTTAGTAAGAAATAAGACCGCTCATATTTTGGACTACGTTTGTGAATGCAAGCTGGATGTTGTTGGTATAACCGAGTCCTGGCTGAGCTCTGATGACGCAGCTGTCCGAAAAGAATTATGTCCTGATGGCTACAAATTTCTGGATCACCCACGCGACGGGCTGCGCGGTGGCGGGACTGGTCTAATATATCGAGACTCGTTGTGTGCAAAAAAGTTAGATGCAGGAATAAAACGTTCGTTTGAATTTTCTGAATGGTCTGTTACAACATCCAGTCACAAACTCCGCATCGTTGTGCTTTATCGTCCACCGTACTCTAGTGAGCATAACGTGCCCATGATCGTCTTTTTCAATGAATTTTCGAACTATCTAGAGTCACTTCTGTTGTCTAAGGAGCCTCTTTTGATCTCTGGTGATTTCAACGTACACATTGATGATGCTGCAGATGCCGATTCTTTTAAATTTCAGGATCTGCTTGAGTCGGTTGATCTCCGGCAACATGTTACCCAGGCCACACATACCCATGGAATCTGAGAACAAGAATCTAAGAGCTGCCGCAAGAACGCTACAAGAAGACCTTGATAAGAGCAACAGAGAAAAGCGAGAATTCTCAAAAGTTAAAAAACGTAGAGAAAATGTATCCATAACACCAGATACAACTATATCATATGAGTCAAAGAACCAGTTCGAAGTTCTCAGCGTTAGTGACCACGAAGAAGAAGTAAACAAATCTGCATCAGATCTGGATCAATCAGAGTCTAGACAACATAAAGACCCGGTACGAGACACAACTACAATATCTAAGGATGGAAAAACCTCTATTCATGAAAGTGGAAAATTTAAAGATGGCAAATTTAAACCTAACATCTTGCTAATTGGTGATTCAATGATTAAAGATATAAATCTACACAAACTTTCAAAAAGCTCAGTTCGTAAGTTAACATATCCAGGTAAAAGAGCAGAGGAAATTGCAAACGAGTTTCAATCGGCCCATGTCCACTCTCCTCCCACAGAAGTAATTATACACGCTGGTACTAACAACATAATCACCGACTCTAGCAAAGAATGCTTCGATAATATTCAGCTTCTAAGTTCCAGAATAAAGAGCACGTTTAAGGAAGCTAGAATCGCGATATCCAGCCTTATAACGAGAGAGGATATTGATGTAACATTAAAGACACAAAAAACGAATGAGTTATTAAAGGATCTATGCTCAAAAGAGGGCTATACCTATATTGAAAATGGGAACATAGATGCGACTTGCCTGAATGGGTCCAAGCTACAGGTACATCTTAATGCGAAAGGTTCGGCTCTACTGGCTGTTCACTTCAATAAATTTATTAGAGGAACTAGCTCACGATCAAGTGATGGGGGTTTTCCGAAGGAACTTCGACAACTGGGAGAGCTGTTAAGTTTGATCATGCCCCAGACGTCAAAGAAGTGAACTCATCGATAAACAATACGATGCCTGACTCTGAAGGTAAAAAAGACTCTTATTTGCATAAAATTAAAATACTAAGGGGGCTGAAAATAGCAAGCTTAAATATTAATAGTCTCTTAAGACATGTTGATGAACTTCGACTGATGTTATCCGATTCTGAAATTGACGTTTTTGCTATAAACGAATCTAAAATTGATAATTCGGTAAAAGATAGTGAAATAAGTATCCCAGGATATAATATGATTCGAAAAGATCGCAATAGATTTGGGGGTGGAGTGATTGTTTATATTCGAGAGATATATTCCTTCTATGAGCAGAAGGATTTAAATTCAGATGATCTTGAAATGATTTGTATTGAGATTTGTAAACCACGAAGTAGGCCATTTCTCATTAGTGCATGGTACAGACCGCCCAACTCTGAGATGAAATTATTTGATTTCTTTGAAATATTTCTTAGTAAATGTGATGCTGAAAGTAAGGAGTTGATTGTTATTGGTGACATAAATTGTAATATGATTAAGACACCAAAAGACTCCAGTACCAAAAAAATAATATTTCTGAGCACATTATATAACTTAGAGCAATTGATCAAGGAGCCAACTAGAGTCACAAGCACATCATCATCTTTAATTGATCTAGTGTTCACCAATCAACCCAATAACATTTCCAATAGTGGTGTTATTGACTTGGGAATGTCAGATCACAGTTTAATTTTTGCAGTGAAAAAAGTGACCATGCCTAAATATAGGCAAACCCGTTCCAAAGTTCAAAAGATTTAATGAAACTGATTTTATTGAGGAACTGTCCAGAATACCTTGATATTGAGATACACAGTATATGAACCCGAACGACAATTGGCATGTCTGGAAATCTTTTTATTTGGAAGCTCTTGACAGACATGCACCCTTAATTTATAAAAGCATTAAGCACAATTCTGTTCCCTGGATAAATTCCAACATTAAAAAACTAATAAGATCCAGAGACTATCATAAAAAGAGAGCAAAGAGATATAAATCCCAGGTTCACTGGGATAAATATAAATCGGAGAGAAATAAAGTTAACTCGGAAATGAAAAGGGCCAAAACTGTCTATTATCAAACAAGAATTAAGGAATTTTCCCTAGCTAAAGACATGAAAAAAACATGGTCACTGATAAACACCCTATTGGGCAAAGGAGGGAAATCATCTAACATTGCAGAAATTAATATTAATGGAATAATATATAATGATCGCAAACAAATAGCTGAACAATTAAACGACTATTTTGTTAATATTGGCCCAACACTCGCTGCTGAATGTGAACGTCTTGAAGACATGCATTGTAATTCAACTGGTGAAAATTCAAAATTCTATTTCCATACAATTACTGAATCCAATATTCTAAAAAACCTGAAAAATCTAAAAGTATCCAAGGCTACCGGGGCTGATAGAATACCAGCCAAAATGCTGAAATTATCTTGCGATATTATTGCCCCATCCTTGACCTATATATTTAATCTCTCAATTTCTACTGGGATATATGTTGATGATTGGAAAAGAGCTAGGGTAATACCTGTTTATAAAACAGAAGATAGAACGAAATGTGAAAACTATCGCCCGATATCTATTCTTCCCATTATCAGCAAATTATTTGAGAAAGAAGTATTTGGACAGCTCTATCAATATCTGATAGACAATTCTCTACTTTCACGTTTTCAATCGGGCTTCCGGCCCAAACATTCGACACTGTCCTTATTAATAGAAATGAGTGACAATTGGTTTGAAAATATGGATAATGGAGAAATAACCAGATTAATTTCAGTTGATATTAGGAAAGCCTTTGACTCTATTGATCATAAAATCCTATTAAGGAAGATGCAAGACCAGTTTGGTGTTCAAGATTTTGAGCTAAAATGGTTCCAATCCTATTTGACGAAACGAAGCCAAGTTTGTGTTGTCGATGGCCACACATCGTTGGCTAAGGAAATTGTATGCGGAGTTCCACAGGGATCTATCTTGGGACCCCTCATGTTTTTACTATATATAAATGATTTGCCAGAATGTCTGAAAAACACAACTCCTGGCATGTATGCTGACGATACTCAAATATATGCATCTTCCGCAAGTTTCTCCGAACTAGTAACCAAACTTAATCAGGATTTAGAAAATATAGTCAAATGGCTCTCTCGAAATAAATTGCAACTTCACACAAAAAAGACAAAAGCAATGTTTATAGGATCACCTTATAACTTAAAAAACAAAGTTGGTAATGAACAGGTTATGATAAATGATAAACCAGTTACTCGATATTCCTCTTTTCCATGTCTGGGAGTAGAACTAGATGAAAGAATGAGCTGGGAAAATCATATAGACACAATATGTAGGAAAGTTGGCTCCGGTATTGGAATCATCAAAAGAGTAAAGCCGTTTGTACCGTCCGAAACACTACAAAATTTATATAATTCTCTCGTTCTCCCATATTTTGACTATTGTTCATCTTTATGGGATAATTGTGGAAGCATGCTCAAAGAGAAATTACAAAAACTACAAAATAGGGCGGCAAGAATTATGACAGGTGCCAATTATGATGTCAGGTCGACAGATTTGCTCCATGCTATGTCATGGAAAAATCTGCACGACAGTCATAAAAATGAATAAATCGGTCTTGATGTTCAAAATATTAAACAACCACTCAGCTCCGAACTTAAAGGATAAATTTATAACAAGGGACATAAATCTTAGTGCTAATTATAATCTTAGAAATGCTGATATAAATCTTTCAGTTCCTAAACCACGTACTGAATATTTAAAAAAGAGTTTTGGATATAGCGGGGCTGTTATATGGAATAGTTTACCTACGCAGGCAAAGCAAACAGAATCTTTAAGTAGCTTCAAAAATTTGATAAAATAATGTGTGCTACAGAGTCAGGCATCGAATAGTCTTGGTTTTTTGACTTTTTTATCTACGTATTTGTTATTCTGAGTTATTCTATTTCATATTTAATTTATATTAGTTTTTAGAATGTAATTTGTATGACGCCCCTCATGAAAATCATCCATGCATGGGTGCATGATGAGGGAAGCGTGGTTAAATAAAGTTTTACTATACTATACTATACTATACTATTTAGGGTATTATAGTTAGTTGCGGTAGTAACCATGTGTTTATAAAATGCTCCGACGTCCGCCGTCGCCGTCTATCCGTAAACGTGGGTCAAGGCGACATGAGAGTTCGACGGCGTTGGCTGTCAGGGGCGATACTTGAGGTGGGTGTGAGGGGGGGGGGTGACACTCCCCAAAGTACAAATCATCTGGATTGGCAGGGCAAATCATCTGGATTGGCAGGGCAATGAAAAATTTTAAATGATAGAATGTAGAGTTATTAAGTAGATTCCAGGGCTTCCAGAGGGAATTGAATAGAATTTATAGAACTAAATTTTACAGATATTGGTAAAAAAATAAGGCTTTCATGCATGTTTTAACAGGAATTTGGCCCCAAAAAAATGTTTTGCTGCAGGGCATCATCGGCTTTCGCAGGGCAATTCTAGCAGACACCCCCCAAATTAAAAGGGGTAGTTTCGCCCCTGTTGGCTGTGGTAAACGCTGGTTTGATGTTATCAGCGCCGCATAGGTATAGTCAAGTCCTCTTTGTATTTTGTATTTTGTATAGTAAATTTTGTATAGTAAATTTTGTATAGTAACAAAATAACGAAATTCGAATAACGTTTTTCTCGTTTATACCGTGTATAAGGAATCGCCATTGCATGGCTTCAAATTGAATAAAAAACACACAATATTATAGTGTCTAAACAGCGATAATCACATGTACGCGCAGAGCAGTGCTTTATTATTATTATTATTAAAACTTTATTTACACACGGTATTCTCATCAGGATTTAACATGCAACAAACTAAATTAGATAAATTACAAAAGTAGAACCACGCTAAAGTAAATAGAAAATATAATACCTGCTTTTCATGAGGGCCGTGTACTAAGCTAATATAACAATATATACAAGGAAAGTTAAAATAATTTGGCACAGCCCGATCGGAAATTTATCAAGTTATTTGCTTGCCGTAGCCCAATCGGAAGACTGTTCCACAGCACCGCACCACTATAGCTAAAGCTATTCTTGAGATAGTTTGTGCGGGGCTTGGGAACAGCTAATTTGTTCTCAGTGCCACAACCGCTTGTTCAAAAATCCTTTTACAATCTCCAAAATTCCTTTTTTCCCACAAAGTTTCCTTGCCACCCAAACGGTGGAAAAAATCAAGAAAATTCAGGCAAATGTAACATATAGACCCTACGAGAAATCGAGCATCATTACATTGCCTGAAAATTTGGGCAAGCTTTCAAGGTGAATAGCAGTATACAAATCCGCAAATCCGCCCAAATTTGAGGCAAAATCCGCGATCCGACAATGGTCTTGTCTAAATTTGAATCCGCTAAAAGCTCTACTATGAAGTCACAATTTGCAACATAAATTGCAAGCTAAATCCACAATCCGAGCCAAAATATTAGATAAATCCGCAATCCGCTGTATTAATAAGATCCGCAAATTCGTGTAAAAATATTCGCCATATCCGAAATCCGAACAATTTTTTCTGTGAAATCCAACGATCCGAAAACCTATTCACCCCCACCCCCTTTCAAGAGTTCCCTCCATGAAAGTATCTGCTCCACATTATGCTCTTCCAGGGGCGTAAGGTGCTAAATTGATATAAATAGTGGAGGGGTTGAATGGCAGAAGACGCTGAACGGCAAATTTTGAAATTTATAGTCCATAGATCGCCGGAAATGACATTTTCAGATTCTTCTGTACCTCTTTAACTCTTTTGTTAGACCTATACTATTTATAAGTTTTTCTGGTTTAAGACTTGTAACTGGTATATAAGTTACAGAAATCCTTGCAATTTCCTTTAATTTTTGTATTTTTTCTTGCCATTTCCTTGTAAATTTTATTTCGTTGTAAATTTCTTGCAAGGACCAATATTTCCTTGCTGCAGGGAAAAATCCTTGTAAGTGGAAGCACTGGCGCAGAGGCCACCACTGAACTATATAACATGGAAGTCTGACTCGAGCTCAAAAAGTGAAGCCAACATGGCGGAATTTGAAGGCATTCTTGCGTGTCATTCTCAGTCCCCTTACGTGCGCGGTCAACAAAACTTTTATATTTTTCTTTACTTTCCGAGTAAAAATCTGGTGAAAAACAGACGAAATTTGAATGAAAAGTTGAATTCTGGTATTTTGTTTAGGTTCGGTTATAAATTTTAATTATTATTTGTTTAGGAGATGTGATATTTGAGTGGAAAGAAAGCAAAATAGCGCGGGATTGCTGTTTTGTAAAATGACAAGGAGTGACAAAACAAAACACAAACTCACTCAATCTTTCAAAATATCTCTATTGCCCCTATCGACAAGAGTTTCACACACATGAATAACTCATTAAAATGAACAGTTTAAGTTTATAAGGCAAACATCAAAGTGATTTTATTAAATAGAAAATAAAAAAACAAAATTTTCTAACATGTATGGAATGTATATTATAAAATAACATGTACATAACGCGTATTCTGATTGGTCGAAACCCGTGTTTGGATCAGGCCATCCAAACACGGAAGGCTATCGTGTTGTTGTTATTTTATAAAACAATTACTTTATGGTTTCCGCGTTTGGATGGCCTGATCCAAACACTTGGGAATGTTGCTCGAGTTAAGAAAAGCGCGCAAAATCACTCGCCTTCGGCTCGTGATTTCGCTCGCTTTTCTTAACCCTCGCAACATTCCCGCGTGTTTGGATCAGGCCATCCAAACACGGAAACCATAAAGTAATTGTATATAGTTCACTGCAGAGACGCGCTGCGTACCTATTTTTTGTAAACGTCACTGTACGCGCATGCGCTCTCTTCTCCTGCATAATCGCAGGCTCGCAGGAATTCAGCGAGTTCGCACGTGGAGTCTAGGTGAAGGCTATTTCAGATACGGTAGAGCACCTAGTCCCCAGGCCTTTACCAGCGCGACCGCGAAATTCAATATGGCGCCAAGCTAAGGAGTGGAGTTTAAATGGAGTTTATATTCTATAATTTCTATTGTTGTTTTTTGATCTTTTTATTCTTTTTGGTTGGTAGAACTTATATTCTCATATGCCAGGTATCTTACTCTTTACCTGATTAATCTGAAAAAAGATTTTATAACAGAATTTTTCTCAAACATAGTTTAAATTAATATCTATATGTTTCAGTGAATTATGCTTTAAAAGTAAAAAATAGATTGGCCAAGATAAGAAATTTTTGACACATTCAACTTCAATTTTGAAAATTGTAATAACAGCCTAGTTTATATTCCATAATCCACAGAGCTTGAAAATCCATGCGGAATGTACAAATTATTGACTTTTCGAGTGAAGTTCTGTTTGAATTTTTCAGGTACTAAGTTATATATAGTTATCTTGCTATCGTCTCTATCTAGCCTGGCACAGACCGTTCAAGATTGCAGATTGCACTGTTTAATTAGCACCAACACTAACAGTCATGGTGGCAGGGATGGATCCAGCATGACCTGGTAGAAGGGGGGGGGGGTTTGATCTGCCAGCTCTAATGCCGAGTTATGTTGGTCATGCATGCCACCCGCCCATCAACTTACAGGTCAAGTCTTGCTTGACTACTGTATTTGAATTGTAATGTTGTTCACAGTTCGCTTCTTATCATGTTATCGATATCACTCAAATTACTGTATCTCATTTTGTCTCTAAAATATTTTTTTGCTTTATCATGAAAAATAGCACCCCCCTGGCCAGGGCTAGGGAGGTGACCCCCCCAGTAAATCCATCCCAACATACAGTTGGGTTTATAGGGGGAGGGGGGTTGACAGAGGTACACACCCTTGGCCAACAGGGGAGTGTAAAAATCTAAAGGGGGGGGGGGTGCACTTCAAATTTAATTTACCATACATCTGAGCATTTGAGATATTGTATATAATTAGTATTACAAATATATTGCCACCTTGTAACCTTCATGTGGTATGTGTAATTGGGAAGTATCTTACTCGTCAAGCAATGCCGGGTTCAGAGTCCTCACCTGTTCCCCTAGCAATCAACAATATACAATTTTAATGCCAAATTGTGTGCCAACATGCAAAATGGACTCTGCACAGGTTGTGCACTACCTTTTCATTTCATGCTGGGTGAACATTATCGTGAGGATAGCAAAAGAAACATATTCACAACTAATGTGTCCTCTTTTACTACTTTTGTAATTATCTTGTTCCATGACCTAAATAAGCTAACACACTTAGTAGCTCATGCTTACCTTTCAACTGGCACATTAGCAATGGCCGGCCCAATTTTCTTTATAGTGGTGTCAGGTGTGCAAGTTATTCAATAGGGTACTAACCTTGTATACAGGGCGTTATAGAATTTAAAAAAATCTGGGCAGGATGTTACAAGGCCATCGGAAGTAAATCAATATTGGGGGGACTCAAGAATATATCTGAATAAATTTTAATTGCTTTGCACTTCTAGTTATTTTGTGTGTTTTGCTTATACAAATGGAAATTTTAGGGGGGGGGGGCTCAAGCCCCCCACTTCTGACGGCCTTGTGTTACATGTGAAATTGCCAGCTGCCATTAATAGTTTGCAGAATTGTGAAAAATAAATCAATGCTGTAGATGGCAAATTTGTTTAAACAACATACACTGCAACAAATCATGATACAGACAAGCACATCCTGTATATGAGGCTTGCTAAGATGTGTAACAAACATTATTATACATTGTAGTTGGTAAAAGCAATTTGATTGGCTAAGAGCTTACAGTTAAATCGCGCAATCACGCAAACTACACAAAATTCAGTTATCTGCTAGCAAATAACTGAATTTTGTGTAGTTTGCGTGAAATTGAATGAGTGTACATTTCAAATGAGTGTACATTTCAATTTTCAAATGAATGTACATTTCATAATTGTAATGTTTACTTTAACAAGTAAATATTTTAATACGTTAACATCTTAACGATAATATGTTTCTTTTATATTTGTAATTAATTTAACTGTTGGACTTCCGGAGACTTGTTTATAGAAACGTTTTACTTGAACAGCTTTGCCAGACATCAAAAACCGAATTCAATAATTGTTTTATTATTTAAAATACTATGTTTATTATTCTTCAAATGTATAATAAAACAATTATTGAATTCGGTTTTTGCGATATGCAAAATTATCAAGGTCTCGGTAAGCGTTATCAGCCTCGCCTTCGGCTCGGCTGATAACGCTTACCTCGACCTTGATAATTCCGCATATCACAAAAACCTCATCCAATAATTGTTAATTAAGCAGTCAAAATGACAAATTATAGCCGACAATTAAAGACAGAAATACAAAGACAACGATGCACAGGAACAATTGTCATGACATATAAACTCGATAAAAGACTGCTAAATGGTAACCATGCTTTTATAAGAACAGAGTAAACCAGACACAGTACTAAAAGGCGGTGCTTTACAAATAAAACTTTCCGGCGTTTCCGCCTACGAGCTGTGCTACAAGTAAAGGATATATTTTGTATTACGCTACATTCCTACTGTTGGCCGGCAGTTTTTCGCACGATTGGTTATAATTTCGCTTTAAAACCTTGAAAATAAACTATTGTCGGATCAAAATACTATCAAAATAAAGAGAAAAGTGAGCCGAATCCATTCGTATACGACTGAAAAAGAGAAAACTAACAACACGAAAGTGATCAAGGATCAAACCTACTGCATTTCGCTAGAATACTGCTATTTACTATTTAGTAATGAATTTGGCATCCGTAAGTACAATTTCGTACGCTGATTCGAACGACGGTATTTTTGTCCTCGTTGAATCACTTGGGTGCTTAAAACCAAACCGTCTGCCGTGGTACCTGTGATAAACTTAGCACGGAGCGACGGACACCGCAATTTTGCAAAAGGGTTGTGCTCTCATCACATGAATGTGCTCTCAATTTCGCATATTTGGGTACTTATAATATAGAATAATGAAAAAATTTCCCGAACTCAAATTTTGTGAACCAGGGGGGTGTGTCTTTTCAAACAAACAAAGAACTGGCTTGCGCACAAAATTTAAAGGCTTTAATCATATTTTGAGTTAATAGATGGAACATTTATTGCGTTTGTAATTACTGTACAAAATTTCAGACAATTTGCATTAGTCTAAGCCTTTAACTATTAACGCAAACTTACATTTTTTCCTAAAAAATCAGCTATTTGCATGCTTAATTAATGCCTTTGCCTAATTTGCATATGTCAGCAATATGCAAATTAGGTAAAGGCATTAATCAAGCATGCGAAAGGCTGATTTTTGTAGGAAAAAATGAATAGTTAAATGGCTTAAACTAACGCAAATTGTCTGAAAGTTTGTACATTAGTTAAAAACCTAACACATTTTCCATCTATCAACTCAAAATATGATTAAACTTTTAAATTTCGTGCGCAAGCAATTTTTATTTTGTTCGAAAAGACAACCCCCCCCCCCCCACTGGTTCACAAAATTTGAGTTCGAGAAAATTTTTTCATTATTCTATATTATAAGTACCCAAGGAAGCTATATACATAAGAAACTGGATACTACTAACTGTTTTGCGAAATTGAGAGCAATTTCAAATCTGCTCAGTTTTTTATACATCCTAGCCCCAGCGAGTTAACACTCTTTCGAGCGCCTTGTTATTAATTAATTTCTAAAATCATACGTGTCATTTTATTTCTGATATTCTAAGCTAGTGTTTGTGCCTATTCTGATTCATTGCAATTGCTATTATATTATAAAATGATTTTTGAATATAATTTCATACAAAATTTGGGACGAATGCATATTATTATGAATTAAGCGAGCTATATTAAATGTTATGTCCATGTTGTGTTAGCAAACTCAAAAATAGCTTAAAAGAGGGTTGAAACCTTTAAGAATCAGGGAAAGGACATTTAGGAACAAGTTTTTAATGTATTCGTGAATTTTGGACAGTAACGTTTATGTTTAATGTTTAAATCACTTTATTAAACCTTTATAGGGGTAAAAATGGAAAAGGTACAACAGGTTACCCCAATTACTGTACCCCCAACAATGCAGCTAATAACAGTGCGGCTAATAACTGCACAGGGACGTATTCATCGTTAATTGTGTCACGCGGAGAAATAGCTAAAAAATGCAAAAATATTCAACTTCCTGATTTCTTAGAAATGCAATGTGCCGCAAATTTTATTGTGTGGATGTATGGAATAGCATCCTATCTCAAAGTTTAAAAGCGATTTAGAACCTTGGCAGGTGCCACAAATGAGAATTCTGCAATGTTTAGGACCTATAATTCTCGAATTTGATATCACATGCGTAGAAGTGTCTCGATCACTAAAATTTTTTTATTTGCCAGGTACAACTAAACAGCTATATATTACTGTTTCTTAGTAGAACGAGCACTCTAGTGCAGCTCAGACCCGAAAACGAAGCTCTGATTAGCAGAGAAAATAGAGAAAGCGGACTGTGATTGTAGGCTTCGGCGATTTCAGAAACCGGCATATTTTAATTAACTTGGGCCCTGGGACAAAAACTTGCATAGCGGTTGTAAAAACCACGTTAGAACGATCTTAACTCCAGTTTAGTAGTTAGGATAGATGAGAGTATCGACGGTAGAAATATAAGAGAAATCTATTTTTGAAGCCCAGATCGAGTGGTCCGCTCTTACAGAGACGCCCTCTTAATGGCCAATGGTCTTCAAATATTCCCTATTATGATGTTACTCAGTCTGTCTCTTATCTACATGTAGCTTGAGGTGTATGTAAAGCATTTGCGAACGGTTTTACTCTAACACTTTTGTTCTCAGTTGCATAACTACTTAGTAACGTCGCTACCGGATGGGTGTGGGGGTGTGCCCCCCCCTCGATAATTTTTAAGTTCTAAACGTTGGTCAAAATATTTTGTCGAATAATTGGTTACTTTGTAAACGAGATATGATGTTATGAAACTTTATGAAACTGAAGATTTTCTTGGAAAGTATGCCTCCCATACCCACCAGAAAGTTTTGTGACATTGTGCATTCCCATGCTAGCGGCTTGGAGGCCCTCGTATAAAATGTTCTGTTTTAGATCCCCGTGTACATTATTTTCTGGCCATACATGCCTTTTCCTTGGGCAATCCGAACCCACAGGCACAGCTCCGAATGTTTAGACGCAGTTTACGCTCTTGGGGGAAAAAGGTCTAACCCCAGACGATTTTTCTCGGCAAATGCTGAATGTGCGCTGATAGGTGCGCCAGCCCGTTCTACCAAAACCAATCTAATATCTTACCATTTTTTCCACAGTAAGATCTGTTAAAACCAGTTGTATTAATATTCTCCACAGCAGCCTTTGCAGTTCCGTGAAACAATTTCATTTCATTTCCACCATTGCTCATCTTTTTCTTTTGCCCCTCGTAGATTTGGTACAATCGAGGATTTTGAATTCTTTCAATTCTTACAACTTCGGCGTTCGGCAACACCGTTGTTAATGATGCTTTAAACATGTCATGGATTTGGTCGTATTCCGTGTCGGGTTTATCAATGGTGAATCGGTGAACGTCGCGTTCTTTGCCAGTGGAACAGTCTATTGGTTGAAAGTCCCAGTTTGAAGGCAGTGGAAATGCTAGAAAGGTACAGACATATATGAGCATATTTCCGAGTTTTAGTTGAGTTTGGTGCGCCAATAGTTTTACCAGTAATGATACAGCGGTTATAATACATGTACTTTTTTTTCACTTACGCAACGCGGGTTTCATTCCTGCAGTACGCAAAACTTCACCTGATTCATTCATCAGCATGTGAGAAAAGTGTTTCCAACTTGACTCAAACCAAACACGGCAGCTTTTGTCCGGGTACACCTGTTCGCTCCTGTAGTAACACTGGACTATATAGCTAGTTTTATACTTTGTTTTAACTTAAATTAATTAAAATTTGATTCAATGATAGCCCAATAATTATGCTTTTACTGTTGCATGTAAAATCACTGTTGCAGCATTATTTGGTGGAGGGGGATTATCCCCCTCGTCCCTCTGGTAGGTCCAAGTAGTGGCAAGTTATCCACAGTGACTATATCACTGGGGAAAATGTGAAATACATTGCATGAAATTTGCAATTGCACCACTAAATCCACAGTATATCCATACTATTTCGGTACTATACCCATAGTATGGAAATACACAATTATTATGGATAAACAAAATCCATTCTATTTCCAATAAAGGTCCATACAATTTCCATTCTATGAACATTGGATTTTCAAATTTTTTCTCAGTGCATGTATATGATTTAACTATAGCCTACCTTCACAAGGACGTCTATACACTTTCATTGTTTCGTTCTCGCTTGGATCCAGACATCTCTCCGTCATGGTTTTGAAATCTATTTCAAATTTTATCTCTTCACCAACTACAACACTTCCAGAAGGATCACTCTTGTATGCCCTCTCTATCTTGGCGCTCAGGCTGTCTGCGTATTTCTCAGGAATAACGAAATTTGCATCTCCTTCGTAATAGAACCACTGAACCTATAAAAAGTAGTTCCATTACAAAGGTAGTATGAATCCTTAAAAATTCAATATTGCATTTGGTTATTTTTCTTTTAATGTTTGCTGTGATGAATGGTACTTACATTTTAATAATGTAACTGAACGAACAAATATAACGCCTTATTGTTCGTTTCTTGTTCCGAACCAAGTTCTTATACGCTAGAGTGATGCCAGTGTAAGGTAGGTAGATAAATATTCAATATTTGAGGTTATTGTTTGAGCAGATAAGAATTAATAAAAATAAATTGATTTTTCCACAATTTTATTACAAAAACTTAGCCAGGTTCTCACTACAAAAGAAAACCCTACCCAAATCCAGGACTGACATTTTTATTATGTATAGTTGGAATATGGGCAAATTAATAAAGTAAATTACAAACCTCGCGAACGGTCGCATCTGTATGGTGCCTCTCTTGCTCCCATGCGTAGATTATTCGATGAATTTCCCCCACTGCATTCGACACGTTCTTCGCAAGACCACCAATTCGGATGAACCCAATTGCAGGCTCGCATTCGATGCGGACATTGTGAAGGTCTTGTACTTCAAGTATTTCAGCGTGTTGTCTCTCATCAAGCTTTTGCTTGACTTCGATAGGCTCTGAATGACTTTGTTCCTCTTCCACCTGACTAAGTTCTTCCTTAATCTTCGCGATATCATTCCAACTCTCTGCTGCAATTTCCAGAGTGATTTGTTGCCTTGTTCGTCGTGCACCTATGGGTGTTGATGGCGGTTTGTGAATATGTTTATCACTTTTGTGATTGGTGTGTGATTTTCTGATTATTATTTCTCCTTCATTACGAGTAAGAAGAATGCTTTTATTGTGGGTCTATCAAATGCCGCATGTTCCCTCCTGGTCCCGGATATATGGCCTAACCTCGTATCTTATGGCCCTTAATGAACTGGATTACTAAGGAGAACAGTTTGGTCAGAACTGGATGATGCAGCTATCTACAAATTAATTTAAAGTTAACTGGTCATTGCTAAACACTTAGGCGAACAGTTTGGAACTCTGCCTCTGGAGAGAACAGTTTGGAAATAATATAGAATTCTAGGGAAAACAGTTTGGAACCGCAACCAGTGTTATTTAGTTTAATTTAATTTTTGGTTCCTCTTGTACAGTAACACCACGCCAAACATTGGATTCTTTAAGAAGAACCGTTTAGAATTGGTAAACTTATCCATGCAGTATAAAGAAAGCTTCGTATAGTTTAGTTGTATACCTTTGGATTCCGCAGACGTAGTTGGATCTTTGCGTACAAATGCCTTGTTGAAATCGGCGAAAACGTTTTCTTGCAAGATCACTATACGAACAAGCTTCAAAGATTTTTCATTTCGCTTCCGATACTCCTTGATACAGCTATATAAAATTTCTGCAGATTGTTTGGCATCTTTCCTTAGATGTCCTGTGCCCACTGCGGGCAGGGACAGAGAGGTGAGCCCGTACATATCAGCGGTGTCTAGGCACTTCGTAACTGCATTGTGAATCATTGACTTTTCCGTTTTCAGAGCGCTGCTTTTTATAACCATGTGCAACAAACAACGCGCCTTCAGGTTTCCCGCACTAGTCATAACAATAGTTCCTGCTTCGATCTTGCCTAACTTGCTGTACTCTTGTACTAAACTTTCACCCGCTGCTTTTACGAGTGCTTGTCCAATTTGGCCACCTTAAAAATATTGAAATGTTCACACTATAAATGAGAGGGATGCTAGATGGTTTTTTTCTGGTGGAAAATGAACACTGGTGGGTAAAATTCTAAGTAGAGTAGTTGAAGTGCATTGGCAACTATAGAGCTGAAATGTGCTCATGCTCGTCGAATGTGGATGGGAGGAACCAATAATAACACTTGGCAATATGGGATACAAAGAACTGGTAATTAATAGAACAATGTAAAAATATTCCGTATTTCTTTCGCGCATGCATGTTTATGTGATGTGAATATTAGATTAAGAACACATTTTATTTTATGGCTTTTCAAAATTCTCTATTCTGATTGGTTGGCAACCGGTCCGTAAAAACCCATATCCGGACCGTGGTTCGTATTTTCCGTATCTGGACTGGTGTCCCGGATGTCGTTTACCTGGCGGGAAATTTTTGCTTTGCAAACAGAAAAAATTTTTGCTTTTTAATTTTCCAATTGTGTGTCATTAAAATTTACAGATAATAATTTCAAACAACCAAATTGTTTTTGATTGAGCATGCATGCCTACCGTATATTGTTACCCAGTGAAACTGACGATAGCCGATTTAATTCGCGCGAAAAGCACATGCTCACAGACTCAGTTCAGCTCTGAGCCATATAAATAAACCGATTATAGACCTCGCTTGTTCGGTCTGTACTGTGAAATATAAGACCTCTGTTTTTTGCATGGACCTCGCTCCTTCGTCGCTCGGTCCATACTACAAAACCTCGGTCTGATATTTCACAGTACAGACCTCACGCTTGGTCAATAAGCCGTTAATATCATGCTCTGCGAGAAACGCAAAGAAAGTTAACCGTGTAGGATCTTCTATCATTCATGTGTTTAAGATTATTGAACAATACGAACGTCTTCATCAAGATTGTATCAACACGCCCGCTCATGCTGTACATATTACATTACGTTACATTTTACCTTGCATGATATCGTCTGAAACTAGAAATCCAATAGCATCCGTCGATGCTTCAACAATATTTCCTTGAATAATATCAACATTCACTCCGCGAGTTTCATCCTCAAAACTCTCGTCTTTGTCTTTGGCTAGAGATTTTCGCGAGCCAAAAATCCTGGGTTTCATTCGTTTCGCTTTGGGGACATTGGGATCGTTTTCGATTATTTTGCTTGAATAGACTTGGAACTGCTGTTTAAAGATACCCACCGCCTTTGTGTTGCCGCTGTAAACAACTACATTGTACTGCTTTATTTTCAATGAAGAGCTGTGTTTTGAACTGAATTGCATGGCTTCTTCGAACAAGACTTTAGCAACTAATTCTGCAGGGAAGCCCAGCGTTCCCGTGCCAAGTGCAGGAATTGAGATTGAGGGTAGGGATAGGGTTTGGACTTTGTCTAATAGTTTTTGCACCAACTGGCGGAGTTTCTGTAGAAAAGAAACACAAAAACCAGATATAGCTTTCTGAATATCAATAACTTATCACTGTTGTCAATATTACTGCAACCATCATCACCACAACTCTTAGGCATCATCAACATAAGGCCCCTATAGTTGATATAAAAATATTAAATATATAACAAACTATCATCACCAGCATCATCATCACGAAACTACCATTATCAACACCATTTCTAGACCGACATCATAACCAACGATGATCATGATCTGCATAGCAACATAACATCACCACCATCATCCCAGCAAACTACCGCCATATGTACAGCAACTGGTAAACGTCATCAAACTACCATTAATACAAGAACTACCATTTATCACACATACATTCAGTATCATCACGACTCTCAAGACGTCCTCACCTTTTCCCCCTGATCAGTTGTCCAGCTTGGGCAGGAAACATGAAGCACTTTGTCACATTTCAATTTGGCGCTATCTGTGACTGCAAAATTTCCTTCCTGCAGCTGACCATTGTCTTTAATCCACTTTTCGCAATAGGTGGTGATTTTACTTCCAGCTTCCTGCAAAATCGCTTTTGAACAAGGATTTTTCGTTAGGTTCAGGTCGTTTGAAACTGTGTTGACAATGACTTTGGTCTGCAAAATGTATTCATAAATGTTAAATACCAAACGTTTGCCTTTTTACCTTTTACCTCTAGTTTTCCTTTAAGTTCTGGGCCCACATTCGTAAACATTATTGAGGAAACACTTCTTCGTTTTCTAAACACTAAATATTCGGAAACACTTCTTAGTTTTCAACCTTCAACATGTATGGACATACCACAGTCAGTATTTGTTGTAGTTAAGCAATTTACTCTTAAGTAATTTACTCCACTAACAAATGTTTCTGACAATTTTTGCTAGTTTTCGCACCTGTGGAAAACATCGCTAGGGAACAATGTTCCTGACAAATGTTTCCTGGGTTTGGTCACCTTGGTGAAACTTGGCTAGGAAACAATTTTTCTGCTTTTGAGAAGCATGGCTGGGAAATCTTGTTTTCGACAAAAAGTGTCCTAGTTTGCTCAGATTCGGAAAACAGTACTAGGAAACAATGTTTCGGCAGTAATGTTTCTTTGGGGATATATGGCCAGGAAGTAATGATTCCTGGTTTGCTTACTTGTGGGAAACATAGCTAAAAATCATGGGCAGGTTATCCACCTTTCAGAGACATGTTTTGAAAACCATGCTTCCTCAATATTGTTTACTGGTATGTCCAGCTGTGTGAAACATGGCTTGGATCTCTTACCGTGGATTTTGCTATATTTCCAACCGTCAGTCGGATTTCCATTCCTTCAGCTGTGTCAAATGCCATATCTCCACTGGACACCAGAGGAGCTGAAGGTGGAGTTACACTTGCTGCTCCTAGGTGTGATCTCCACCTATCACGAACCAACTCATTGATTTGGAAGTTTGGATCATGTCTAAATTTTGCTATCATTTCTTTCATCAAGGCTTCAATAGCTTCCGGGTTGTTGTCGACAAAATGAACTTCTCTCAAAGCATGTGAGGGGTTTTCTTGTACGAATTTGTGTGCTGCTCCAACTAAACTTTTAGCACTGATACCATAAGGGACTTCATAAATTCCCGTGCCTAAAACTGGGACTGCAATGGTGTGCCCGTCTACTGCATTCTTCAATACATTAGTACAACAGTGCCTATAAAGAAGTATTATTCCGTTGTAGTTATCACCATCACTACCATCATCATCGCTACCATTATCAACATCATCACTACCACCATAACCACCACCATCATCACCACTATTCCACTATTATCATCACGACTACCATGATCATAACCACCATTGCCTCTAGCATCATAACCATCATGTGATGATGATGGTAATAACGATAATATTATCATCGTTATCGCAACTATCATTATGACCATCATATCACCTTCACCATCATCATCACAATTATCACCACCATCGCATCACCATTATCGTCATAAATTTATCACTACAAGTACCACTAACACCTACACTATCATCATCACCACTTACGCTATCATCATCACCACTGTCAACCCCTATAATAATCATCATCATCAACGTCAGATGGCTTTTACCTACCTTAAATACATCTCTTCTCTTGCATCATCACCATCGGGGGTATTACGATGTTTTGGCACCACTACATGAAGTACTTTCTTACACATCAAGCTGCCACTGTCTGTAGTGACCACGTCTCCAGGAATTAACTTATCTCTCCCCTGTTCGCGGAGAGCACGTGAACTGTCTTCTTGAATTTTTCGCCCTCCTTTGTCTACAATAGCTTTAGCAAGTCCACCAGCATGCTTCATTTCCTCATTCGCTGAATTAACCAGATAGTGTACAGGATGGTTCAGAATATCACCTTGGTGTACTTCTATGATCTTACCACTGGAATAAGTATATTTACATTGCATTGTACGTTTTCGGTGTTCATTTAAATTATGCACAGGACTGGTAGGTGGCGCTCTGAATGAGCTCCGTCTGTCAGTTCCTTCCTTGGTTATAACCACAATAGCACATTGATGTTTTCTTTCGATACTTTGTATAATTGCATTGGCCCCCTTCTCCTTTATGCCTGCTGCAGTCTCGGGCGTACCATAATTCATGCTGTCGGATTTCAAACCTAGATTTGATCAAACAAAAGTTGTTACACGCTGTGTTAAGGCCTGATTCCCACGGGCGCTTTTTCTCGGCGAAATGCGAAATATTTCGCCTGTTTCTTTTGAATTGTAGGCAATCAAGTAGAAATAGTTCGAGTGGTCGCAATTCAAAAGAAACAGGCGAAATATTTCGCATTTCGCCGAGAAAAAGCGCCCGTGGAATCAGGCCTTTAGGGAGGGAAGCGGAAGTAGAGAGCCTGGCTTGCGAGGTTGCGCCCAGAGCCTCCCCCGCAGGCATCTCAAGGATTCTTATTTCTGTTGTTTGACCAAGTTTTCTGCAGCAGAACTTTTTTTCAATCAACAGATAATTATCACTTATTTACTGACACCGAGGGAAACAGCGTGTCGCTGTTTTCCTGAGGTTTCGATAAATAAGTGTTTTATTATACCGGGTGTCCCAAAAAAAAGTACTCCGGTTTGATTTATAATAACTTCTAAACAAGTAAATCTATCAAACAGAAATAACTTGCATTATATAGAGGACGGACAAACTTAGATTTTGATATGTTACAGTTTTATTTAACTTAAAAATTCACGGAGATATTAATGTTCAAAATCGGGAGCATATTTTGGGATGTGTCTAAAATTAGCGAAAATCGGCATATCAAATATTAACTCCAGCGTTTGTTTGCTTGATGACATATCAGGCTAACTTGTATTTCAGCGAATTGTTGTTAGGGTTTGTAAGGGATATGGCGTAGATTTAGACATCTTACATGTAAGTCTTAACTCATTGTTTCCTGAAATATGAACGTTCGAAATTATGTGCAAGTATTTAATAGGTCTTTGCAACTTAAAGGTACATGAAAGACTATGCAAGGCAGGTGCTTAAATTTTTCTAAAATAGCCTATTTTTTTATGTTTTTAATGGGTTCAAAACAAAGTTGATTATTTCTCGGTTAGAGCAGGATGAATATTATTCTTTAATGAAGGAAATAATATTGCTTTTTGCAAATACACATCACAGTATCAACGCTAGCGCTATTTTGTTACGTTTTGTTCCAAAAATGTTGGATGTCTCTGGGGAGTTGATTGTTATGTCTTTACTTATGGAGTTGTTTGCATAGTTTGATTGTGTTTCATTCTCAGTTTATTCTGAACTTGCCAAGATTAAGAAAGGCAAAAGAGTTTGGGTGTTCTTAACAAGATTTCAGAACGTTGCAGAAGTTATAAAGTTCATTCAATGTGAAGTTAGAAAATTCACAATTCCATTGTGACAGCATGCCCTAATTCAGAACTACGAACAATCCATGACGATCCTTCTCGATGCAGTGGTCTCATGAAACTTAGAAACGTATTCGTGCTAGGAACACACGCGGATTTCGGACGAATAAATTTTGCTTGTATTTTGTAGATAATAATACTTTGTTTCATAATAAAAAAATTGTCAAGTGTCATTTATTTACTGGTAATAGTGCATGTTTCAGTCGGGCAAATCTTGATTAATATTTGATACGACGTTTTTTGCATATTTCAGACACATCCAGAAATATGCTCCCGATTTTAAACATTAATATCTCCGTGAATTTTTAAGTGAAATACAACTCTAATATATCAAAATCTAAGTTAGTCCTTCCTCTATTTGACGCAAGTTATTTCTCGTGAAAAGCTTTACTTGTTTAGAAGTTATTTTCGAATCAAACCGGAGTACTTTTGTTTGGGACACCCGGTATAGCAAGTGTCAAAGTCTGAATGATTCATCTGGTGTTCCGAAACTGTAATTGAACCGTTCGGCAGACATGCTGGAACTCTTAAAAAAAACTTTGCTTTAAACTTGCTGGTTGACGCGAGCAGCTCGCGCCTCAGTTTCAGTTTTATTATTGACTGGTCAATAATTGTTTAATTGTTGACCGGTTGTCCCCTCGCCATAGCATACAGTGATGCAGTTTTGTGAACCGACACGTGATACGGTTTTATCCAATCGGCAAACAGGAAAATTGAACTCTGACACTTGCTATATAATATTGGTGCTTGATGGTATAGAGATGTTAGTTAGTTCATGTGCCTACCACTTTGCCGACTGGTTTTCATTCATGCAATATTCAGTTGTCTGATTGTTAATTCCATCATGCTCACTCATACCACGCTGGTTTTGTCCAGGTACACGCGTAAAAACACACAACCTGTTCTCTGTTGATGCCGACAGGCTTGGGAACAACGTTGTTACAGCATTGTTGCAACTGAACCTTGTACAAGCCTGTCGATGTCGACAGGAAACAGGCTGTTCGTTTTTTACGGTGTATAGTTCGGCTTGCTACAATACTTGACCAATAATGAATCTTCTAGGGAGAACTTTTGTAAGTGATTGAGCTATTTTCCAGAAATACAGTTACTTAAGTGTAAAGTTTTTTAAGTTTATCTCTGGGAACGACATACAATTGCTAGACAGGCGAATGAGACAGATTACAAACCTCCAGTAAACTCTTGTATGCTAGTACAACAATTATCAACCGATGGCTTTTCACCCGATACAACCAAAGCACCACTATCAGTCACAATTTTCAACCCAGGTGATGACAGACGTAAACCGTCGAAAAGCTTTTCGTCTCCGTGTAGATCGAGGTAGCGTAGGACGACTTTGCTAAGAGGAACACGCTTATCGACTGTCTTCTTTCGTTCCAGAAAATCGTCCATTTTGCCACTCAAGTTTCGCAAGTGCTTCTTGAAACACATAATGCGAGGTTGTCCTTCTGTTTGTAAAGTGAGGGGAATTAACGTCCCTAACTCGTTCAACAAAGCAACTTGAGATTCTTTTGTTTTCAATCCTATAAAAAAGAGAAAATTTGAATGTAGTGGTTTGTCTGAACTACCTGCAGAGGCATTTAAAAACATTTCGAGGTGATTTTTTTAGCCATGTTCTCCAAAGCTGTGCAAACCAGGAAAACATGGTTTCCTAGCCATTTTTCCCAAGGGTAGGCAAAGGAGGAAACATTGTTTATGTAATAACTACAGTGAAACACGCAATTTGATTGGTCAATAGCAGTACAAGATCAGGCTATCCTGCACGAGGAATTAAAATGCCTTCGCGGGATTTTCGCGGGATTTTCAAAAGGACATTGTTAATTCAGTGTAATTATTTTATAAAACAATTACCAAATGGTTTTCCAAGCAGGATAGCTTGATCCATGCACTTGGGATGTTGCTCGACTTTCGGAAAGCGTAAAAATACACTCGCCTGCGGCTCGAGTATTTTTACGCTTTCCGAAAGTCTCGCGACATCCCTCGTGCGTGGATCACGCAATCCTGCACGGAAAGAAATCCGGTGTTCCTTTATTCCTAACGTGTGTCCCAAATGTGGACAAACTAGTAACTATTGTTTTCTAGCAATGTTATTCGATGGTTGGCAAACCAGGAAACATTGTTTCCTAGCTATTTTCCCCAAGGGTTGGCAAGCCAGGAACCTCGAACTCAGTGTGCTAACCGCATCTCCCAAACAAAGAAGCTAAAAATTGCTTACTTACTCGGAGAAAGCTTCAATTCACCGATGGCATTCTCTATCGTGTTATACGCTTGTTGGAGTTGTGTTTGATCCATACCATACAACATTACATTCCCTTGGTCATTGACCAGAACTTCGACGATCAAATTTTCCGCAGATAACAGTGTCTTCACATGAGAAAGACCTCTGGGTATTTTTAATAAGGAAAATGTACTTTGGTTCAATGAGCGTTCGCGAAAGCGACCAACAATATCTTGTATTTCCTCTTTAAGCTTTTGTATTTGTGTTTGTGAAGCCTTCACGTTTATTCTTCCTTTTGTGTTATCCAGTTGAATCTCACAACTCTCTCGCTTTAAAGAATTTTCCAGCCTGATAGGAGAAACATTATTTATTATTGCTGAAGTGATTACTGAATAATTCTGTGTTTGAATAAATTAGACCATATAGGCTCAGTACAAAAAGATTATTTTAATAACTACGTTTCGGAGTATAACTCCATCTTCAGGTTAAAAAGTAACTAAAGACACAGAATAGATACTGGGCCAGAAGTGTCACTCCTATGTGTTTTGGCTGAAGGAAAACGTCCGAAATTTTTTTGCGTGCTATGACGCCATCCTGGAGTGCACCCGGCACTTTGTACCTATGTTTTCCTATGAAAAACGTCCGTGTGCACTCCAGGATGGCGTCATATGATGGCGTATTTTCACGTCAGCACTCGTAAAATTTCGGACAAAATATCGTTTGAGTGACACTTCTGTATCTATTCTGTGCTAAAGATATAAAACTTTAAAAACAATTAGAAATTTAGACAAAATCCGTTGGGATTGCGTATAATAGCTGACGTGCGCTTCAAACTAATTCGTGTCCGTGCGCGCGCTTAATTTTTTTAATTTTTTTTTTGTCCATCGATGGATCGATGTTGAAGAAAACAAAAGGAACATTGGAAAGAAAGGTCACAGAGGCATTCTACATTGAAAGAATGCAACCTGACCTGAACTCAAAGGATGAGCTGCAGGAAGTTAAGGGATTTTGTATATAGTTTAATGTAATTACATATGCAGGCAGGGACACGAAATTTTAACGCTCTCACGGACACGCCATGGACAAAAAAAAAATTAAGCGCGCGCACGGACACGAATTAGTTTGAAGCGCACGTCAGCTATTATACGCAATCCTAACGGATTTTGTCTAAATTTGTAATTGTTTTTAAAGTGTTATATCTTTAGCACAGAATAGGAAGGTATCGCAGAAGCGTAACTCAAGCAAGTATTTGTCCGCGTTTTTACAAGCGATTCGTCATCAATCACGGCATCCTGGCTAGTACAACCGGCACTTTGTACCTACCAAAACCTGATAAAAACTTCCGGTTGTACTAGCCAGGATGACGTGGATTGGCGTGAGCGAGTTAAAATTTTCGTGGACGAAAACAATATGGGAAACGACTAGAGTTACGCTTCTGCTATACCTTCTTATTCTGTGTCTTTAGACTTTTTAACCTGAAGATGGAGTTATACTCCGAAACGTAGTTATTAAAATAATCTTTTTGTACTGAGCCTATATGGTCTAGTTTATTCAAACACAGAATTACTAAAATGCGGCTTAGAGAAAGTTCCGTCATACAAGATTTGAAGATTACTGAATACAATTATTCGCCGAAGGCGAGGTGATTATCGGGGAATATTCGCCGAGACGAAGTCGAGGTGAATATTCCCCGATAATTACCGAGCCTGAGGCGAATAATTGTGTTAGTATTTTTACACATTTTTTTGTGTTTTTGAGACTCGATATATATTTTAATTTCGCTTATTTCTTTATCAGTAACTTTCACAAAACAGCTAGCCGCCATTTTGAAAATTTCGGTTTTGTTATGTTATATTCACCTGTAGGTGAATATAACGGCTTATTTTTCACCCTGCTCGGTTTCCTTTGTTCTTATCGGGGAAAATATTCAATATTCCCCTCTAATAATCCCCTCTAATAATCCCCCCTAATATTCACCTGCAATGTCTTTGCAGCACAAAAATGAGAAAAAACAACATAACGAAGGCAATATGGCATTAAGAATTATTTCTCAGTATTCCGACTCATTAACGCGACCTCGCAATGTGAAAAATAAGTACGTTGCCTCAAAAATAACCTATACTTAATACGTCAAATTTGACCAATCAACGTGTAGGATTTGTTATGTTCACTTGTGCAAAAATACTAAAAAGTAATATTCGTCCTGTCTAAGTAAAAGTTGTATGAACTACATGATATAAATGTTCACAATGTTAATAGTACTAAGGCTGTATCCACTGAATTAGTAATTTGCTAGTTAGTTGCTTAGATGCACACAACAACTACAGGTTTTCCCTGAGATTTGCTGCAGATTACCAGAAACACTATGCAAAATCCATTTGATCTGATATAAACACTGAATAGAGAACTGAAGCTCATTAGTCGGATAGACTGTTCAGGTGATTTCAGTAAGTTAGTTAGTGCGTTGCTTGCCTTTCAAATCTTGATGACCTTTGAAGCAATTTAAGGTGGACAGGTAATATTTCTATAACATCGTCGCGTCGATTGGTTCTCTCTTCCACTTTATCAATACATTTTTTCACCTGGTCGATCGCACGGTCAAATGTTGACACAGCTCGTCCAACAATCTTTATAAAACCCTCGTTATACCTCTCTATAAATGAGACTGATTTGGCTGACCTAAACAAAACGATAATCTCCTTAATCTCCTCACGTAGCCCATGATTTAATAAACCCAGGTTAACAGGCACTATTTCGCATTTGTAATCTTTCATTGCGGTAAGGAAGTGCTCTTTCGCATCTTGATTGGAAAATGTGAAATGCACCGATTCCGTTTTCTCTTCAATGTTCGGTTGTGGATCTTTTAATGCGAGGCTCAACTGGGCAGGATGGTTGTCTTTGAGATAGAGGTAGAGGTCACGATCGATATCTTCTGTGAAACCTGTAGCTTTTGGGTGTCTTGGTTTTGCTGTAGGTACTTCACGGCGGGTTGGTTCTGATGTTTCTTGTTCTGTTGTCTGTAAGTCAGCTAAGCTGCCAAGGATTGGGTGATAGCGTTCCACGGATAGGGTGGAGTTGTCCAATGTTTGTTTCACTAAAAGGACTTTGTCTATCACTAAAAATATGAGACACGTATACTTTAATGTGCAATTTTAGTCGTAGCCACAGAGCGGGAATCCCTAGGGGGTCCAGACCTCCCCCCCACTTTTCTTTAGACCCAAGTTTGTAACTTTTTCAAAACAGAGTAACTTGGGCGGGCGTAACGTCTTAATATTTTTCATCCGTGACATAAAATGTACCAATTCTGGGACTTTCAGATTATCATAAAACATGTCTAAAATGCATGAAATGGCGTTTCCCAGACCCTAAAGATAATTAGAGCCCCCATTCATTTGGGATTGGCTACGCCTCTGAGAAAAGTGCCTCCTGCCCAATTCTACCAAACACCGTAGGTTTTCTTTGACTGTATGGGTTTCCACCTGAAGGAAAAATAGAGAACAGTCTTTACTGGACCTCTAAAAAGAACAGTTTTGGCAGGACTGATAGAGCTATTCGTACTGCTAACATACGCTGGACTATAACAGTTTAGAACAAGTAGAAGTACTGTAACTGATAAATTTAGTTCCAGTTTTAGTTTTCCTCCTGCGGCAACACTTGATTAATAACAGATCACCCTTACTGCAACTCTGCAGCGAAAACAGCCACCCAGAAAGTTAGCTTAGTTTCAGGAAAACAGTTCAGAACATAAAAATCCATCTTACCATCTGGATCTTCAAATTCAACCAATGCTATTTTTTTCTCTAGGTCTAGATGGACTCCTCCGTCCGTGACATCGCCACCACCAGCTCGTTTGTTTTCAAATTTGTACAACACGGAGTCGTAAGTCGCTGTAGTTGGTAAGTTTTTCACTAAGATTGTTTTACACACAGGAACTGTCTTGATTGATATATGTTTTTCTTCTAACGTTGGCTTCTTTCTGAAACCTTCCTGTATCTTGTCGAAATCTGCAACAAAAGGTAAAACATTTTCTTTTGGTATTGCTAAGACAATGAAACAAAAATTCCTTGTTTCGAGCAGTGCCAGATACTTCGCTAACTTACGTGCCAACATATGCTGGTAACAGTCTTGCAGAAATTATACTCGTGCCTTGTTATGGCAATGCGCCCTCCTCACTTTTTTATTTCACAGTGTGTGACACCAGATTAACTTACGCTTACGCCAAATAATTTTACTCATCCAGGGAAAGCTCTTTTGTGTGATTGGGGTATAAAGTTTTATAGCCAAATACCTCTCTTGTTATTCTATATTAAACAGCCGTGCGCCCGATTTAATTTTACAGTTTAATTTCCAGACAATTTCTTTTCGTGAAAGGGAGACTTTTGTGCATCATTTGGTTGGGCGTAAAAAAAAACCCTGTGGTTCCGGTTCCCGACCGACCCTATTTTTTTTCTGCCGACCCTATTCTTTTTTCAACGCGATTGACCGTGCGACCCTATTTTCTCCAGGTGGTTGCGGGCTGCTCATACAGCGTTCTAAAGTAACTATTAGGCCTAGAAAATATACTTCTCTTCCTGGCAGTAAAATCCAAAAATATATATCCTGTGTAAGTCATTTATAAACCTTTCTGCATATATATGTTGATTTCACAGAAGGTATGCCGAGATTGAGGTAATGAGGTTTATCACAATGTGGGGCGCCACATGAAAATTCTGACTTGTAAAACGCTTTGGGGAAATTATAAAATGGCTTTCCAGTATATGAGAGGACAAAGATTCCCTGCGAAGATATTTAGCAGCAGTGCTGCTGGCGCTGTCGAATATAAATGAATCCAAATATATGTCGAATTCAAATATAACGGAGCGGTAGTATGGAGAAATTTACCGTATGAGGTAAAAGTAGCGGAATCTTTAAGTTCTTTTCAAAGAACTATTAATCAAGCAAACACTTAAAATTGGCTCGTCCTGTTGCCTACATAGTAATTCTTCTTTCTTTATTTTTGTATTTTTAATGTTTATCTGTACAGTGTATTCTTTCTAAAATCACGCCCCTCATCGAAATCAGCCCTGAGTTGTTGAGGCCGGCATGCTTAAATACATTTTTGTATGTCGGACAATTTTCTGTACTTCTAACTATATTGACACTGGATAGTATTATTAGTTCTAAACTGTTCTCACTAGAAGTCCAGTGAGGACCATAACCAACCACTGTAGCACTTATTTTCCCAAGATCGTTTCTCACCTACTTGGCCGTGAAATGTCACTATTGCATTAACACTCCCACTGCTTTTCGTGCCATACGTGATGTTTTTCACGTCTAAGTCGCTTATCCGTTCCATGTAAAACTGAAGACAATCTTTGGAAGTGTTTGTGGAAACGCCTTCAACGAAAACTTTGTCATTTTCATAAATTTCTGCTTTCTTTTGTCGTGTTGTTAGTGTAGATCCTTCGAGAGAAAGCGGGCTTGTTTCCAAAACTTTTTTAGCACCTTAAAAAATTAAGAAATCTTTAAGAAAATGATAACGTAATGAACATTTTGGTAGAGATAGATTATTTGAACTTCGATGGCAGCATACACTGAATTGCAGAAGTTTTACATTATGATTAGATAGATCAACCGGACTGACGTGAAGCAGACCGAGGTAGACTTTGAGCTTACAAATGGCGCTTGAGCAGCCGCTATTAGTCCATACCTCATTAATGATCTGCCTCCTGACCTTATGTGTCTAACACACCCTGTCAACTTTCCCTGTGGGAGGAAACACGGAGTACCCGGAGAAAACCCACGGACTTTCGGCAGAGCGTTGACTCACTCTTTTCACATTAGGACTGGGTTCCAGTCACAATGAGAAGTCCTCATTGGGATTCGGACCTGCTACCTTAGAGGTGAAAGGCAAGTGCGCTAACCACTTCGCCACCGAAGCCCCACATCTCTAAATCTTTTAAATAAACGGTCTATATAATCTACATGAATTTTTCTGATGTTCTCATTGTATACAATTTTTTTTTTATCTGATGTTCTTAGTTTAAAGTTCAGGACTATTTCTCGTACTATTTTTTCGACTAAAGGCTCAAAAATACAGTATTTTCAAATAACAACACCGACACCGTATTGCTGTTTTGCATTGATACCACGGTTTATGGGTCAACTTTCGCATATTCTTTTTATACACTGATTCGTTTGAGCACTCGAAGTGATTTATTATTGTGATTTTAAAACACCTCACAAGATATATTAAACACTCTGCTAGCTCCTTGTTTCAACGCAGTATTCCATATATAGCCCATTTCGCTGGTTATATCTTATAGCCCGCATTGTAGGCTGTCACACCCTAAATTCGGGCCGAATATTGTAACGATTGTCAATGGGGAAAATCACAAATACCGTCTAGTGTCATTGAATTTTGTGAGAACTTTTCATCAATATACTGCTTTTTTTTAAGATTAACATGAATAAAATATAAATGTAACAGTTTTTAAAACCTGTTTAGCACACAGGAAGCGGATTGCTTTGTCCTATTCCAAGAATCGCAAATTTTCCTTAGGTAGCAAATCCCTGTTTATATATGATGCAGTATTCTGTTTACAAAAGTAATATAACCTTATTATAATACTGATTTAAAAGAAATACACCATTGCGATTGACGGTGATGTCAACAACGTTTATGTTTTGGCTGCACATTAATCAATCACTTCCGCCTAATTCCTAAATCCCTGTCTTGTATTTTAAGTATTTGCATGCTTCTAAACCTTGCAATTTATATGATATCACAGCATTCTATATATTCAGTCGACTAAATTTAATAACTACAGTTTCAAGCTAGTTTGTTGGTTAAAACACATCGCTTCGATTTCGAAAGCGAAAGACGAATCAAATTATACCGTCTCGTTGTTGTTATAGCTTTATTGTCGTTTATACATAGCTAGGTAGAAAGTATTGTCTGTGCTACAAAACTCTTTAGATTTCCGAATTGCGTCCATGCTTGGACAAATCTCAAAGGCTGGCGACATTTGCTTAAAATTTGCCGGCTACATCGACACGCAAAATACTAGGAATCAAATTGTTATTGTTTTCAAAATTGCAACATTTAAATACTTTATCGCGATTGATAAATTGTAGGTCTCATAGTATGGTTCATTGACGAATTTGTTGTATCTTCGATGTAATAGTAATGCTGGTTATTCCTACTAGTTCCTTGAGTAATTACATTTTCTGAATTCTGAGCTGTATCGTGCAGCAATAGCTATCAAAGTTCAATGTGAGAATATGATGTAAATTATTTCATTATATGCATTATAAACATCTAAAATTGAGATCTAGTTTCATTTTCATGCTTTATAAATCAACATCAATATTTCTGAAATTGACTTCAATGCTGCCCTGTAATACTGCAATATATACTGAAACCCAGCTACAACACATAAAGACAGTCTTGTTTTCCTACCTTCGGCGTTAGCAAACGTTATTGATGCATTCCCACTTCCTTTGATATATTCTATATTCGCGATGTCTCCTCCACGTCTTGAAGAAGAGAAATAGTTCTCCAAAGTGTCTTTTGAAGTGTTATTGTTTATTCCCGTCACTTCGATAACCAGGGATTCGTATTCGGCCATATTTTGTACGTTTATTTTGATGTATTTGACTACATGTTTGTCGCATATTTGTAAATTCCAAGAATGTGCGTGATTGTAATTTATAAGGGCCTTCCCCTGACCTTGAAATTCAATAGTTTTACTTGGAACCGAAAATGAAAGTGAAAATAATTCGGCTCTCTTTGTAGTCTCTTTCGCTCATGTGAAAATTGCAAAATGGGATTATTCAAAGTTTAATGGTTGAGTGATATGAGCAACAAAAATACTACAGTCTGCAACAAAAGCTGATTTCAAGCAATGTTGATTCAAATGATATACGCTTTGGTTGCATATATAGATTTTAATCATTCTCGTTCCCAGGCATTCGAAGATGTTCGCACGACTTTGCAGCAACTTAGCGTGGCCATGCAATAGCTATGTTCCAGATTTTTACACAGATAATTATTACTGCGATTCGAAAATTTAATCTAGAGATGGATTTCGATACTAAGATTATTTAAAATTGGTCAAGTAGAACCACTGTTATGGCTGTCTAATTTAAGCTAAGACCACTTAACACATCTGGTGCATAATTTCAATGCTCCATTGGGCATTGGAAATTGGGTGAACCAGACTTTATTGTTAAACAGCCATAACATTGGCTCTCTATTAACTATGCTCTACTAGACCAATTTTAGTAATATTAGTCTATAATTTAGTAATATTAGCATCAATCTATATCCGGTGTTAATAGGGAAAATGAAGCTGACTGATTACTGACATTTACCGTTATTTTTGATTGACAACTGACACAATATTAACTAATGGTTGAAAGACAATGTAACAGCAATTTCGAACTGAAACCAAACACATATTTTATTGACAGTTGACAATTTGCTTATATGTTGGCTGAAATGGCTATGTAACTAACCCTACCGTAAACCAAACCCTAACCTACCCGTAACCAAATTAACTAAGAAAATCAAAAAAGAATCAACTTGAAATATTGAGAAAATGACGTCATGTCAGTTTGGTGGTTGGAATTTGGAGCGAGTAAAAATCCTTGCCGGCTGTTATCACTGACCTCAAAAATATACTGTATAGCGCAGCTCATTGTGTACTGGTAAAAAAACCCCATTAAAACAGTTAAATATTGATAGACAATAGAATTCCGCCATTACTAAGGAACCAGGCGAAAATGGGCTCCTTCCGAATCGGTGGCTATTATCCCATACTATACAAGATAAGATCCATACTCAAGTTTTTCTTGCACGATTCATTAAATCCGTGTGAATAAATGAAACGTAGTCCAATTGTGGTATTCCTGCAAAGACTAGAGAGATACAGCTTTGACTTTCACTACCGCTATACCATTAATTAATGGACTAGTTTATATCTGATTAGCCAATCAAATGCGTACTACACTGTCACACGCAAAAACGCTGAGCTCACTGTTTAATAGGATTGAACAATGTTTTGCTGCCCACATTGTTCACACTTGTGACTTGTCAACAATATTGAACAATATTGTTGAGCCTGAATTGGGTGTAACAATATTTTTCAATATTGTTGACAACTGTGAACAATTTGGACAGCACAACATTGTTCAATCCTGTATTCATCAATATTGCAATAACCTGATCGTTTTCAGCCGTGTAATGGCATGAGAGGTAGCGGTAATTGAAAGTCAAATCTGAATCTCTCTACTGTAAACTCAGTGGCGGAAACTAGGACCTTTTGTCAATGCTTAGAACGTCCATATCTAAGTTAGTTTGTCTTGCTAAAAGTTTTTGTTGTTCAGATCTCAGTTAAATACGAAGTGCTGACAGATTGTAAACGGTTTGATCCATTTTACACGTCATGAATACACCACTTCAATAACCAAACCGTTTCTCCATTTCTTGTGCGAACACTTGTGAAGTATATTTATCAATGTTGACGAAACGAATATCTTTCAGAGGATTGGATTTGGGTGCGTTCTCAGCAAAATTTGTCGCCGCTGAAAACAGAATTTCGGCACAGATTGGGACAGGAACACCAAATATGCCAGAACTTATAGCAGGGATGGAGATACTCGCAGCATCATTCTGACATGCGCTTGTCAAACAGTTGAGAACTGCGTTGAGCAACACTTTCTTTGCTTTATCCTTCTGGCAATAATTAGCCCATCTTGGACCGACTACGTGAATGATAAAGCTACAACGAAGGTTTCCAGCTTTTGTGGCTACGACGTCTCCGGCATTTAGAGCGTGTTGGCGTTTCCTCATAATGGCGTCACTTTCATCTTGAATTGATTTCCCTCCGGCTTTTACGAGTGCTCCCGCCAATCCGCCACTATGCTCCAGCCCTTCGTTTGCTGCATTCACGATAACATCGACTGTCTCTTTAGTAATGTCTCCTTGATAGACAGAAACCTTCACATTCTGGATTAAAACACAGGAAAGCTTTTCAATAAGAACTTTTTCTCCTGCTGCCCCTTTGGAAGAACTTGCTTTTTTGACAATTTTTGAATGAACTATCTTTACACCATCTGAAACAAAAATACAATTAAAGCAGCCACAGATTTATAGATTTCCTTCGAAAATTTCTGTTTTTGTTAATCAGAAAAATATATGAATGTAAAATGAAGCGAACTAAAAACACACTTGTCGAATGTCGATGCTGTTTATTTATTTTATTATATAAAGTACCGTGCTTTATAGAGATTTCGAGCACTGGTAAAACTGATAATCACACATGTGAGATCATTGATGATAATTTCACATGTGAAAATTATTGCTTTTCAATTATCACTTTTCTGCAAAAATTATCGCTTTTCAAAAACTGTCCTTCATATAATAAACAGAAAAATACATGGATGCTTGGAAATACCAGATCTATTTCTCGTGTTGAACATGATATCTCACTCGTTCGCTGCGCTCACTCTTGTATCTTACTCATATATTTTATTTTCAGATTTTTTGTCTTTGAATAAATAACTAAGTCTCTCGTCATTTTTAGTGTGAAGTTTCACTTCACACTATTGTGATGGCTGGCGAATTCACACGAATCAGTCAAACAGTCAATCATAGAGTAAACTTTCCGGGGGGTGTATACGATTTATATTCGTAGTGATTTATTGTACTTAGTCAGTACTTTGAAGGTTATTTAGGCAATTTCAGTTAACTTATTTACATATTCTGTTATCCTTTTGCCAAGTTCACAAAAATTTCGAGGAATCGCTTTCGTTATTGTAATTTTTTGTAAATTTTAGAACATTTTCTTCTCATGTTGTGTAAAGGATCTTTACCCCGGAACACCCGATTTTTTCTTTAGTAGCACAAATGCGCATGCGCTGTCAAGCCGTAGATCATGATGGCGTGACGATATGCTAGGAAGGAGCGACAGTGTTGTTTTCAAATGTATAAAGATTTCAGACGTGAATATTGAGTAAATCTTTGAAAATCTACGCAATATATAAATTGATCTTATGCATTACGGGCGTTCAATTAAGTGCCGATAATATTTAGACGGTATATTCATTATACAGAGCTAGGAAGGAGCTAGACCGCCTAGACAGTGCAGTCAAGTGTGTAAGCATTTCAGACGTAAATATTGAGTCGAATATCTTGATTCTAGGCATTCATTTGAGTGCCGATATTATTTTCACGGTATTCTCATTATACAGAGGTACAGTACGTGCAGGCAGAAGCAAGACAGTGTTGTTTTCAAGTATATAAAGATTTCAGACGTGAATATTGAGTAAATCTTTGAAAATCTACGCAATATATAAATTGATCTTATGCAGTACGGGCGTTCAATTAAGTGCCAATAATATTTAGACGGTATATTCATTATACAGAGCTAGGAAGGAGCTAGACCGCCTAGACAGTGCAGTCAAGTGTGTAAACATTTCAGACGTAAATATTGAGTCGAATATCTTGATTCTAGGCATTCATTTGAGTGCCGATATTATTTTCACGGTATTCTCATTATACAGAGGTACAGTACGTAGGCAGAAACGAGACAGTGTTGTTTTCAAGTATATAAAGATTTCAGACGTGAATATTGAGTAAATCTTTGAAAATCTGCACAATATATAAATTGATCTTATGCATTACGGGCGTTCAATTTAATAAGTGCCGATAGTATTTAGACGGTATATAATATATTCATTATACAGAGCTAGGAAGGAGCTAGACCGCCTAGACAGTGCAGTTAAGTATATAAACATTTCAGACGTAAATATTGAGTCGAAAATCTTGCTTCTAGGCATTCAATTGAGTGCCGATATTATTTTTTCACGGCATACTCATTATACAGAGGTACAGTACGTGCAGGCACAAGCGAGACTGTTGTTTTCAAGTATATAAACATTTCAGACATGAATATTGAGAAAATCTTTGATGTTCTACGCAATAATAGTAATACAATATATAAATTGATGTTATGCATTACCGTCGATATTATTTAGACCGTGTATTCATTATACATTCTCATTGACTGTATAAGGTGCTACATCACAGAGATAAGATGGCTATTGAAATCTAAAGTGATATTTATATTCAACACATGCGAAAAGCTGAAAATAGACACACGTCACACTGGGAAAAGTCAAAGGTCAATGAAACTTGTTATTGTGAAACATGTCACAATTAAGTTAAAATGCGGAAGCGGATGGAGCGGATTCACGGAACGGATATACGGATAAAATACGGAACGGTTGAGGATAAAATGCGTCTTTTAATGATGTAACGACGTAGTGCTTATTATTCATAACATATCTTATACAGCTATTTCAATTATAGTTTATTAGATAAATTTAGCATAGCAGTAGCCTCGTGGAGATGCTTTCAGCGACAGCTGCAAATGAAAATTTAGAATATGCAAAATTTGGTTGTTGGTGACACAATAAATAGATGAATTGCATCAGTTTCACAAGGCACGTTTCTGATGTGTTAGGCTTGTTTCAAACGTCACGCTACTCGTGTGCCGAGCGTATTAAAAGCAATAAATAATGAGATGAAATGCCTTTGGTAACTGTTTATTTCATAGTGTAAGCCATCAAGCTTTTCTAGGTTGTCGGCGACCCTATATAGTTCTTGCAGTTTGAAACTTCACACTATCCTTGGATCCCTAGTCTTGAAATACTTTCTCGGCAGATATTTTCCCATACTGCCCTCACTCTCATGCAGTCAGTAAGTTATTTATAATATTTTGCAGTTGATATCTGCATATAAAGATCATTCTATCTGTAAAATTGTCCATCTAGCAGGATTTTTCCAACATAATCGTTTATCATGCACTTCTGTAATACTGGTATAACCTGATTTTCATTTGTTCACGGGTGTTACGATCATTTTTTGTCGCCAACGTTGCCAAATATAAACCAAACTTATAATTACTAGTTATATTACAAGTTATTCTGCAGCAGTGTTACAACATGATTTTAAATATTGTTTATTTAAAAATTGATCAATCATTTAATAAAATTCTTAAATCTTTGGCCGGTTCACAATTTTTGGCCTAGTTTCCCTCGGTCCTTACCTTTATCTTCATTGCCTCCACTCATTTCTCCTAAACTGTTTGTCAGTCCTTGCAAAATCTCTTCGCTTATTGGTTCCTTGCCAGTGGAAGAAGTGTAGCTCAATTTTGCAACGGGTATAGGTGCATCGAAATATTCTTCGCGTTTTGTTAGGAGGTAATTTGCGTTATCCAGCATCATTTTCTGAGAGGAAATTATTTCTTCTTCTGTGCCTTGGTCGGCCAACTTTTTCGAAAGTTGAACAGACGTTTTTATGTTCTCTACGTATAACTTTGTTTCTTCTGCCTGTCTGTCCAAATTGGCTCGTTCAGTTTTGCGAATTTCATCCACTTTCTTCAAAAGCGTTTTAGTTTTTTGCTCCAACATTCCAGCAACAGTTTTCAGCACGATATCATTCTTTTGTTCAATTTGAATTCGGATATTTTCGGCATCGCGATCAAGTTGTTCTGTCGTAAGTGTTAATCGTTGAAGAAATGCATTGCCTGCAGTTAAAGCGTCTTCCATTGCTTTGTTATTTGAAGCAAGAAGTTCCTTATAGTTGTTCACTACATCCTTGACGAGAACACACGAATGACCTTGCTTGACGTGTTTAAAATCCATGCAGTCCCTACAAATCAGTTGATCACAGGTTTCGCAGTAAACTTTTAATATCATGCCCGAATGTTCATTGCAATACATTTTGTTGTTGATTTTCTTGCGATTTTCTGGCTTCGATAACTCTTCCATCGTTAGAACAGAATGACCATTGTTGGCTCGATAATTGTTGTGGCCTGCTAGACATTCTCGGCATAGGAATTTTTCACAGGTGACGCAGCGAGCGACCGAGTAACTTTGTCTACAATTATGTGAACACGGAACGCCTGTTCCACGATCGAGTACGGCCGCCACTTTTACCATGTTACAGATGAAATGGTTCCGTGGCATGTCGGCGACATGTTTGTCGGGATCAAGTATAAACGTGGCACGACAATTTGGACATGGAAACTCTCGAATAGGTCGACCACGAGGTGCTTTGTCACGGCATGTTTGCACAATTCGTTCCAAACAAACTTTACAGAATGAATGGCAACAAGGAAGGGTTCTGGGTTCTGTTAGTACTTCCAGACATACAGTACATTGTAGATTTTCTTCAAGTTGATTGATCGGGTCGGTCTCTAAAGCACGAGCCATTTAAAACGAGATAAATTTTAGAAAGAAACCATTTTACTCGTCGACTTGTCATAGCTTTGGCAATGACGCGAAACGAGACCCTGTTGTTTTATTGTTTTATAATCACATGACCGAACTTTCGATATTCCTTCTTAGAAAATTAATTCCTGGTAAATTATCGTTGCTATCAAATTACTATCGTTTAATGCAAACGTTACGTCATAGAATTCCAATTATTCTGTGTTTTTTAATTGACTAGATTATCTAGTTAAGACCAGCAATTGTTGAAGGGATTTTAACAGTTTAAATAACGAATTTTTAATGATACATAATTTTAACAAAAGTGTCGGAATTTTTTAAGTACTGAACGTATTCCTGCCGAGTAAATTTGTTATGGTTGAGGTATTGGTGAGCAATTTCATAAAATAAACCCAGATCTCATCCTGTAGTATTAATTACGATGCGGACGTGACATAAAAACCGTTTTATGTTGCTTCACTTGTGTCTATGACTTTGTTTACCAACTGGCGGCCGTAATTTTTATCCGTGCAGTGAAACTGTGGGAATATAGTTACAGTTTTTCTTCACGTCCGCGTGGTTCACGTCCCCGATTTGGTGCATCTTAATCTCGCTACTGCCCCCAGTAAAAGATATGCCTCACTGAAACTGTTCATAGAGGAACAAGATTTTAAACAGAACGTAGCCAGAATTTCTAGTCAAAGTGGTGTGGGAAAATTCCAGAAGAGGCGGAAGCAATTTTACCGTGCACAGGTGCACTAGTTCGAATACAGGGTGTTTATCATGTGAAAATGCATTAGGACTCCCACTGAAGTCGGTAGAGTGGCATTTTCAGCATCCAGAACATTTAAAACATAGCAAGATATTATGAAATTTACGAGAAATGAAAATAGAATGTACATACTTTATTCTGGCCAGAAGAGCCCCCCACAATTTCGCTCCCCCCCCCCTCTTCTGGCTAAGTCTATGAGTTACCTTGTAGAAAAAAATTAAAAAGTCAGTGTGGTGTAATTGAAAATCGTGGTTGTGTGATTAAATGCGTGGTTCGTCATTTTTATTTGGTATCTTTAATAATAGTCAAACGGATTTTCTCATGCCTTGCGACCAAGTGTTGTTCGCCTTTTTTAGATGGCAAACTGCGCAGCAAAGGAGGATGACAACAAGGGAAAGAGTGATTATAATAAACAATAGTACTTATAGAAATAGTACTTAGAAACAGTAGTATATGGTGTTTTTACTTCAATGAATTCACTTCTTCGTGCTACCCAAAAATGGCGGACTCGCGGCCAGGGCGCTTGAGACAATACTCGTCAGCTAACACGTGAAAAAATAAGGTTTTATTGCAAGTTGCACAAATTTGTTGCTCCTATTTCTTTTCAGAGGCGCCGGAATATCGATAATTGGGAGGGCAGATATTCATATATTCGTGGTCTGCCCAATTAATTTCTTTTGAAATCGATTATTTTTACAGTCTGTGAACACGAATATATGAATATCTGCCCCCGCTATTATCGATATTCCGGCGCCTCTGTTTCTTTTCCACTACTCTTTAAGTACCATGTTGATAATAGAGACCCTAAGGTAACCTGAGTATCAGGCTCCTGGCGAATGAAAACATAAGGGCCTGATACTCAGGTTAACCCTAAGGTTGACCGCTAAGCGCAAGCGGCAAACTTAGTAGCTATAATTCATGGCTTCAATTTTAATACATATAGGCCTATTACCCTAACTTCGAACAGCTAACAGTTGAGCTAATGTCAATCTTAAGGTTGCCAAGGAAACTGTAATTCAGTTAGACTTGAAACATTTTGATACACATCAAAATTTTTTATCAACTTCAACTATGTTTTTTGATGTTACTATATCCACACCGGAGTGTATATCCACACCGGGCAGGCTGAAAAGTTAGCCAGTGGAAGTCAAGTCTGTAATGTAAACAAACGGTTTGTTTACATTTTGAACTGCTGTATTTTTAAAATATGATGTACTGTCTGAATATCTAACACCATTTTTTTTGTTCGCTATGCTTCTAAATGAATATAAAATAGAGTTTATGTTAAGAAAAATTCGAAACATTCGAAATTTAGGCAATGTTTGCATTAGAGGGTCCTCACATTGTTGTGAGCAGAACCGATGCGCAGAACGGACTTCCACTTTAAGTCTAGTACCTTCGATACCAATGTGTTCTATGATCATGCCGGCTAAAAAGTTAGCCTGACCACGGTGGGAATCGAACCCGTGACCTTTGGGATACCAGTCCAATGCTCTGCCAACTAAGCTACGAGGCCAAGTCTATTCGAGTGTGTGGTATTTCGGAACTAAGTCTTGTACCTTCGATGGAGTAGTATCCCAAAGGTCACGGGTTTGATTCCCACCGTGGTCAGGCTAACTTTTCAGTCTGCCCGGTGTGGATATACACTCAGAGTAACATCAAAAACATTATATTCACCTGAGTACAAAACATCAAAACACACACAACTATTTTGATACTTATGGGAGTGAGAAACTGATGCTAACTGTTTCTATTACATTGAAGCATTAAATCTATGACTATCCATATAAACAGTAAGTGGGTTTCAGTTAATTGTTTTGTATGGTCTTACCACAGGCAGCCGAGGAATGCGCTGTATATATCTCGCTTATGAATTCCGTGTGTGTGTGTGTGTGTGTGTGTGTGTGTGTGGGGGGGGGGGGGCTTCCCCCCCC